AAAATGAGTATTATTACTATAACTGTCACAAAAGTAAACTTTACAGGGTAAAAAGGTATTTTTTTGTCGTTTTTGTGCACAATTAACCGGAAAATCGTAAAATAAACTTTAGGACAAGGAACAAAATTTTTTTTGTAGAGCCGTGTTATATATCACATTAAAAGTCCTCGTCGTCCGCGTGTTAGAAAATTTATTTATATCTCGACAATTATTTATCGATCGACGTTCAATAACAAAACAATTTTGCAGGAAATTTGAAAACCTTTTGATTTGATAATAGGTACTTTCTACGCAGGAGTAGCCGAATCCAAGATATTTACGAAAAACGTTAAGAAATAAGTTTCTTTCGAAAATGAAAGAAAACATTTAAAAAATCGTATTTCCGAAACTATTGGTTGTACGATAATGAATAAAAAATGATTTTGTAGAGTATTTAATAACCTTTAACCTTCGTAAGAAGTGTTTTTTACGTAGAAGTAGCCAAATCCAAAAAAAAGTGCGAAAAATCTATTTATTTTCAAAATGACTAAAAATATAATACTCTTTAAAAAATTCTATTTCAGAAAGTATTGATCGTATGATCTTCAACAAAAAACCAAATTGTTCATAATTTTGTCAGTTTTTTTTTTTATAATGACCTTTATTTCGGTAAAATCAATACTTTCAGAGATATTTTTTAAAAATTGCATTTTTGGCCAGTTTTTTGAAGGCAAAAAGTTACGCAATGCGGGCGGCGGGAACTTTGTTATATAATATGCCATTTCAAACAACTTCCTACAAAAAATTTTTACATACAATTTTGCCGCCCAGATGTACGAAAAAATCGTTATTTTCCTGGGCTATTATATAACTTCAAAAAATCAATTTTTCGAAAATTTATTTTATCATTATTTGTCCTTTTCATACAACTTTTTGTTTAAAATACTATTTTCGTATAAAGTTTGTTTTGTGAATTACTTATGATTATTATTAGAAATAAATCACTATATATATTAAGTATCTTTTAGTTTATTTTTTTAATATATTATATCATAAATAATAATATTAAAATACTAGCTATTTACAACAGGAACCCATGTACGTGAAAAATGCAGAGTGGAAACTAATGGACTTGAGTAAATCGCGTGAAGTAGTTAAGTACCCTTGTTGTCCGGAACCATATGTCAATCTAAATTATAAAATGACTTTAAAGAGGAACTCGGCGCTTTATTGCAGTATATTGCTAATGCCTGCTGCCGGTATGTACATTAATTATATTAAAAATTAATTATTATTTAGATAACCCAAACATTAACCTAGTAGTAATCGTATGTTTAAAACAGAATAAACTTTTTTTTTTATTTAAGAAAATTATGTTACAAATAAAGATTTTCTAGTTTAATTATCGAAATTTTTTTAATAAGATCATATAATTTTCTTTTATATAAATCAATATCCTTATTTTGTATATAAAAATGTTCGGATAAAATTACAGAAAGATCAATAATTTATGAGATATTTTGTATTTTATTCAGAAATAATTCGATATAAAATATAAATATTTATTAATTAAAAACAATCGTATTTCACATTTTATGTTAAAAATGTCAGAAAAGGACATAAAACATTTTGCAAACTATTGACTTTAATAAATTTTAACTAAATATTTTTAAATGTTAAATGATTAAAAATTCTGCATGTTTTTTATTTTCTCTTCTCTTTCCTAAAAATATGAAACTTATAATTCAAACAGGATCCCGCACAAATCTTATATAAAATAAAATCCCAGTCAAATTAGTTGAAATTTTACTATAATGTAGATCATGATGTCTTGATCAAAAATCCTCATGGACATAAAGTCCAAAAATAAACAGTTTTCGAAATATTGGAGGTAAAATGTTGGGAATATGATCATTTACTTATTGTACTACTTATGAGTAGACGCAGTCACAGCAGACAAAGAGCATGGATCAAGATGAAAATTAACTAAAAAGTTTATATTTAGTTTAGGGACAAAACCAGATGAAAGAGATATGTAGGATAAGTACGAGTCAAGACAGGAATATGATCACCTTTGTACCGAGTCAATAGATAGAGGTTAAAATAGCGCTATTCCCAAGTACAAACTGAAAAAGATCTGTATAATACCTGTATAGTACTTACCTTACATAGCCATCTTAGTGCAAGTAATACAACTAGCTAAAAAAAATAGACTTTAGGAACGAGGACATGAATATAATTATATAAATAATATAAATTATAAATTATACATAATTGTTAGATTATTAAATTTTTAATGAAGTAAACAGTGATTTTACTCACTGAATGTCTTTATTCCTAACAATTACAATGAACTTTTGAACGCTACGACTGTTGGCGAGAGAGTGCGCGGACCGACCGAGGGTTGTGCACGAGCATAGCATATAATGAGTCATTACCGCTACCTGTGTTATAAAATCCTTATTATGATTACTTTTCAGCGTCAATGAGTAATATAAGACTACTACTTTCATTAGGCGCGCAAACTAAATCCAATAATAATTTTTCATTTTTATTTTACAAAGATTTTTTGAAATTGAATTAATCATCTTGTCTTATGTCTAATTAATTACCTATGATCTTATCTTTATTGGCTGGATTTTATTCAATCTTGTCTTGGTTAACTAAATCTTTCCTTGGACTTGGTTAATTGGATTTTAGTCTATTTTATCTTGGTTGGCTGAATTTTTTCCTACTCTTGCCTTGGTCGGCTGAATCTTTTTCTGATCTTGTCTTGATCGGCTGGATCTTTTCCTGATCTTGTCTTGTCAGGTCTTGTCAGCTGTATTTTATCCAATCTTGCCTTTGTTGGCTGGATTTTACTCCATCTTATCTTGATTAGCTGGATCTTTTCTTGATCATGCCTTGATTGACTATATTTTTCATTATCTCTTTCAACTTGTCCTGCGCTAAGAAATATGCCGGCAGAATTTCATTTTGCTCCATAGACTCTGTCCGCAGTAATTGCATCTACTCGATAAATAAATGGCTATATTTCCAACATTTGATCCCCAATATCTCGAAAACTGTTCATTTAACTTCGTTCCCATGAGAATTTTTTTACAAAGATATCATAATCTACATTATAGTAAAATTTTAACCAATTCAACTGGAATCCATTTTCGATTAGATTTGTGCGGAATCCTTTTTTAATAAAAAAAATAAAAAATTGTTTCTATGAAATATTAAAGATATAAAAAGCATGTAAATATTTTTATTATTTTTTCATATTTCTCACAAATTTTTATGATGTCAAATATTTTTTTCATAAAAATATATTATTTATTCTATAATATTGTTTGACACAATGATTTAAGAAATTTGATGATAACCTGAATCACAAGATCCCTAATGCAATCGTTCCTAAGTTAAGCGATTGTGTTCGTGCGTGCATGCGTGCGTGCGTGTGTGAGATTAGTTCAAAATCTAACCTATCACAGCTTATGTCGAAATTTAATCCATGTCTGTTCATTTACGATATATAAACTTTCAGCCATTGTTTTCTTGGTTCTGGTCACGTTTTGGTTACCACCACAAAGTGAAATGAAGATCAGTGTCGCGGCCTGTACTATATTAATCATCGCCGTATTTTTAGGCTATCTCGGCCTTAAAGTACCATTAACGACGACTCCTCCACTCATAGGTAGACTAATGCAAAAGTATACTTCCTCTTAAAATCTTCTATTATTTTCAGTTATAATTTGAAGAAAATATATGTATATATTTTGTTTACACATTAAGAAATTGTTCAATCTAGAAAGATAAAAATGTTCTATTTACAATATTTACATCTTAAATTACATGTTTTATTTATTTAAGATAATTTTGTTTCAAATATATTACAATTAAGATAAAGATCAATATAAAATTTACAATCTTGAAAAATTTTAAGCAAAGACATAATTACTTAGTATAACTTTAAAAATCTAGATATGAGTTATTTTCTACACTAACAAGAAATAAATTCAAACTCGGAATTTTTCAGAAGTCAAATAAGTCAAAATCAAATTTAAAATTTGAACTAATAATGTTTAATAATTTTATTAATAATAATTTGATCCTCTCCCAACCATGTGTATTTTATCACATTCTGTCAGCAATTTAGAGCTCTGAAGACTAATATAGATTTTTAGACTCTTCCCTGTTGAAAAAATTTGGTATTAGACTCTAATCGCTTCTTAATCCAATACAGTTTAACATAATATGGTTATCCACATGGATTTCCATATAGACTTTGAAATTTACCATGGCAATCCATATATGGATTTCCATAGATTTCCATGGAAATCTACATGGATTTTTTCAACAGGGTTTTGTATAAAATCTGTATAAAAATATGAAAAAAATCCTTGTAAAAGCTTTAATAACGAGTTTTTGTCAAATTATGGAAGTCGGATTATATTTTAATTTTTACAGATTAAAATTGTAACAAAACGTTGCAAAAACGTGATTTTCATGTGGAAATCCACATGGAAATCCATATGGATTACCATGGTAATTTGAGCCAAAAATCCATGGATTTTCACGAATCCATATGGAATCCATATGGAATTCATATGGAATCACGTATTACAGATTTAACAATAAGACTTATATTACAGACGTGGTATTGAATCAATAACGTATCGTTTCATAATCATTACGGTAAAGATCAGTAAGATTCTGGTGCAAGATTTTAACAAAAAAAAATTTTTTTACTTTATATTTACATATTATTATTTTTTAGAGTTTAATTTGTGTTTATTCTATTTCGCATATTTTCTATTATATTAATAATTACAATTACGTTGTTATAATTTTTGAAAACGTATCGAGATTTGAATTTGGGATTCTTAGGATAGCAGGCTTGTACGCTAACGCTGAGCTAATGATACTTTGTGCAAAGGGCTTATTTTTCCGGTATATATTTCTCTGCCACTGAATTCTCGCGCCTAAACAAATACTGAGAGCCAACAGTAACAGGAATCGCACATGAATAATGAAATTTCTCAATAATTATATATTTTTCCCGATAGTATCGCTTACAATTTTAGTTTTTAAATATTACTGTATTTTTCAGCAATCGTTACTATTTTTTCAGTAAACATCTACGAATTTAGACTAAAAATCGAGAATGAGCGAAAATTCAGAGATTATTACTGTTTTTCGAGTCTCATTGTCAGTGTACATGAAATCCATATGGAATTCACATAGAATCAACATGGAAATCCA